GACGACTTACAAAATGTCAGACATCAGTGATATGAAATAAACAGTATGTAATTGTGTTAGCAGGAAGACCCTTAAGTGCTAAAGGGGTTACATTAAGAGACAATCAATGTAAACCAGATTAATGAAGGAGGCTCTAGAATCGTAGCTTGAAAGATGAGTGGAATTTGGTCAGGCAGTGGAAATCTGAACTTCCTGGCTCTCTGGACTCCTCTCCCCTGATTTTGTTCCCATAGAAACACTTTATGACCGGTTAGTTGGCATGTCAGAGGTTTGGGTCAACAATTGATAGACAGTGCCATTCATTGTGCCTTCACCTCTAACTTCCTAATTCCCAGCAGTATGAACAGTCTGTGTGCCAATCTACTACAACCCTGTGATTTACTTAATTTCTATTTTCCTTATTTCCCTTAAGAATCACAAGGACAGCATTGCCCGTATAGGAAGTCATCTAAATATCTAAGAGTCTATTGCCCTCTAGGCATGCAGAGAGGAGTCTCAGGTTGGGCAGGAGAAGCTCTCTTGATTTTATACCAGTGTTGCGGAATAACTAGGGATTCCTAACAGGGGCAAGGTGTAGGGGTCTTCTTACTTTGCTTCTCTTTCTTGCAGGTTATATTAACAGAACGGTACCCTGATTGTCTGATCTCAGACCAAACAGTTAATATGGGAAGAGACTAGGTCAGTTTAGTGAGTAGTATATAGCCTACAAGGTAACAAGTATGTATTTTAAATAACTGAGCCTCTGTTTTACCAAAAACTAAGTGGTGTGTTTATGTTCTAGGCCTAGAGGCCTAGAGGGGCTTGTTGACTTTTTGGACTTCATGAAGAAGGTAGATGTGAGACAGCTCACACTCCTGTGATGGAAGAGCGAATAAGTAACACCAACAAGTAAAAAGACATCACAGTAAATTCAAAAGTTGAAAGTCTGTGGACTTGGTGAGTGATAGGAATGGGTTAGACTACCTTCTCATGAATTTTGATCCAGATTTAAATTATGATCTATTGGGGTAAAAGGTGCTAGAATACTCCTAACTGGGAAGGGGTAGTTGCCAGGGGATAGCCATTTCTCTGTAAAAGCCTTTAAAATCTTCAACATCTACAGAAATCATGGTATTCCCAGCCATCTATCCTTTATCAGACTTATGTTATTGCAAGTTTACCATCCCTCCTAAAAACTCTGCCACCAACATACATAGGTATACACATACATATGTATCCCTCTCCTCCTTACATTCTGAAACCAAGCTGCTTGTGGTCCAGCACTATAGCTAATTCTGCCTCTGTCTGATTGGAATCACAAGGACAGCATTGCCCATATTGGAAATCATCTGTAAATATCTGAGTCTGTGGCCCTCTAGGCACGCAGAGAGGAGGCTCAGGTTGGGCAGGGGAATTAGACAGGAGGATGAGAAAGAACAGAATGTGAGAAGAAAAAAAGTATGATTTGAAGCCTGACAGAGGTAAAAAGGAAAAAAGAAAGGATGTTCACACACGCACACAGGATTTTAACTGAGGAACTGGGAAAGGTCTTGGTGCCTGTATGTGGGAAGCTAGATTGTATGGCAGTAGAGAGAGAAGTTGATGGAAGCAGGATAGAAACCCTGAGGGAACTGGGAAGTGGAGGTTTTAAATGGTTGTTTTCACATTTGCTGTCATCTTACCAATATATTCCTTCACTTTTTTTTTTTTTTTTTTTTGGCTTTAAAAAGTATATAGATTAGCTGGGCTGGGTGGCTCAGTGGTAGAGCGCTTGCCTAGCATGTGTGAGGCACTGGGTTCAATCCTCGGCACTACATATAAAATTTAAAAATTCATCAACAAATAATAAAAATATTTTAAAAAACCTTTTAAAAAAGTATACAGATTAGGGACTGGGGCTGTAGCTCAATGATGGAGCACTTTCCTTGCATGTGTGAGGTACTGGGTTTGATCCTTAACACTACATTAAAAAAATAAATACAACTACAACTAAAATTTTTTTTAAAAAAGTATATAGATTAAATACAAAGGATTTTTTATATAAAATGTTTTAGAAGCTAGCCATGCACATATTAATGCAAATACAAAAGTAAGCCCTGCACTTCTGACTCCATTCCCTTACTTCTCTGCAATAATATGAATATTTCTTGTGCTTTAGAGACACTTATTTTTATTTAGCTGCCTGTACAAACATATATACCTGCCTGAATGTTTTTGTCAAGAGCAGCAGCATACAGAATTCATATGACTTTACATTTTTAAAACACTGTATTTTAGGCATTCTTTATCATTGGTACATTCATTTTATCTCCTGTATAGTATTTTATGGTGTGAATGCTGATTACTATAAGTCCCCAAATAAGATCTTTGTATGCATATTTATGTGTACACATGCAAGTATTACAATAGGAACATTCTTAGATAAGAATAACTTTTGTCAAAAAGTTATTAACAATTTTTGCAAAATTTCCCTTCAAATAAGCTGTACCATCTATACTATCACAAAAAGTTTGAAAGTGCCTAGTTCCCCACATTGTGGCAAGTTGTTTTTTTTTTTAAGTTGTTCATGGACCTTTATTTATACATGATGCTGAGAATTGAACCCAATGCCTCACGCATGCTAGGCAAGTGCTCTTCCACTGAGCTACAACACCAGCCCTTGGCAAGTGTTTTAACATAATTTTTGGAACTTGTAAATTAGGTGAAAATGGTTCAGTGAAGTTTGATTTGCATAATGGAAGGCCTTTAAAATTTATTTTCACCAAGTATTGTCTAAAGTTTATCTTTAAATATTTTACATGAAATCATCCAATCTCTTTTACCTTTAAAATTAAATTAAAATTACCTTTAAATTTTTGGACCCACAACACTATTCAGGTGTTCTGATGTGAAACTACAGCTGATGGGGATTTATTTAACCCAAGAGTCAGTATTAGAAAGTCTTATTATTTAACTGGTTGAGCCTTAAAAAAAAAATCTATGTAGGCACTAAATGACATAGGCATTTGCTGTTTTCCTCATTTCCTTGTTGAATAGGATTCTTGGGAACCTGAGGGAAGGAAGAAGCCCTCTGGGGTCTAACACCTTCCGATATGTATCTGAATCAGAATAACCCAGTCATTAAGTGGTCAGGCACTTATCCTCTCTACCCGTCACCTGTAAACTGAGGATGTTCCATTAAAGATAATTGCAATAGCTCCTTGCTGTTCTCAATTCTACACTACTGCCGTCATTTAGCTGCAGGGTTGGAGAAGAGGCTACCACTGCTGACTCAGCTGTGGGAAGACGGTAGAACTTGCGACAGCAGAAACGCTCCCAAAGAGGAAATTAAAGTGGGAAGGCATTTCAAAACCTAAATATGCGTCTCTATAGATCTGTGGTCCCTTCACTCAGTTTAGGACTCTATATGATATTGAAAGAGATAAGGGAAGCTGGAAAAGCAATGGTGTGATCTAGTAATATACTTTGCAAATAACCTAGGTTAACTGATTCTCCGTGCGAGCTGGAAACATTTCAGAGGAAACGTGCCTGAATCTTGGCAGGTGAAATTAACTCCGCTAAGTCTCTCCGTGCATATGCAGCTCAGGACCCTCTGCCCTCGGTTCTCAGGGGAGAAAAACAAGGGGTGCTGCGGGGTTGTGGGCACTCCCTTGCCCCTATCCCTTCAACTCAATTCTTGGCCAGCACCCTGCAACCGAACTCCCTACCCTGAGGGCTGGACCCTTGCCACTGGGTAGGAACGTGTGGTGCGTGACGAGACCACGCCCAGGTGAGAAGCGGCAGGAAGCCGAAAGCAGTGTTCATTGATCTCTAGGGGAACTTGAAGTTCCACCCAAAACCAATCAAGTCGCGAAAAGAGGGTTCGTAGACCTGCGGTGGGTGGGGGGTTGCGGAATACTCAAAAAGGGCCTTGCAGCTGGTGGTAGGAGTGGGAGGTAAATCGCTCTGGTCACCTCCGGAGCGCGGCTCCGCGGTGCCCTCGCCCCCTCCTCAGAGCTCAGAGCCAGGAGATGTTGCTCTTTCGTGGTGTCTCCAACCGCGCTTTGGGAAAGCAAAATGAAGCGCAGAGGGGCCGCGCCAGGCGGGTGGCGAGGGATGCAGCCGGTTGCATCCTGCTGCAGCCCCGCAGGACTGCAACACCCGGGCCCCGCCCCGGCCCCGCCCTCGGCTCCACCGCCCTCACTTCCGCTCCTCGCAGCTTCCTACCCAGGCAGGGGGCAATGAGTCACGGCCTGGGTGGGAATGAGGGGCTAAGGAGCCGGAGAGGTGAAGGCGGAGTGCGCCCCGAACCCACGCGGAGCCCCACCCACCGCAGGCCCGGACCCTCACACCTGCCCCGGCGCTCCGAAGGCCTGCCGCCCCGCCCTCTTTGTGCGGAGGGCGTTGTTGCCTGGGCGACGGCCCCGCCCCGGCCCCGCCCCGAGGCGCCCCGCCCTGGTCTCCGCGCCGCGGTCGGCCCAGCTGCAGTCCGCCGCCGGCAGTGGGGCGGGTTTCCCGGGGCCGTGGCTGGGAGCAAAGCTGAGTCTCCCGCGCCTGTGCTTTCGCCTGCCCGCCCCGGCTTGTTCCTCGCCTCGTCGGTCCGCTGGCCGGATCCGGCTGACCAGCTTGCCCTCCGGCTCTTAACCGAGGCACCACTGCCGCCGCTGGGACCCGCCCACCAGACCCTGCTCGGGGCCGCCAGCCAGCCTGTTTAGACTCTGCCGTTGATGACACCTGGCAGAAGGCTACCATGGAGGGGGATGCTTCAGACTCTCTGGTGAGTGAGGGCCTAGGGGCTGCCTCCTCTCGCCCTGGTGGCGGCGCGCGGGGACCCCCGGGGCTTTTTCTGCCCTCCACCCTGAGCCGGGAGTGAGTCTCTCCTCCCGGAGTAGCCTGGGCTGTCGTGTGGTGGCTCCGCTTCCTCATAGCCTGTCCCCACCAGGCACTGGTTTCGCCACCCCCGCCCTTTATTAAACACGCTGGGAGGGAAGGACTGGTCATCCCCTGGGCCCCGAGGAGGGCGCGGGTCGGTGATTGCCCACCTGAGCACCTCGGGGAATCCGACTGGGCTCTTTAATGGGATCCAAGCTGGAGAATTCGCTTTAGCGAGGCGGGTGCGTGACCCATCCTCCTTTGTCTGGGAGCGTCTTAGGGCTCCCGCGGACTCTGACCAGGTGCTGCCGCAGTGAGCGAAGGCTGTTTGGCTTTGCCGGCTCGCGGGGTGGGGCCTGCCAGAACCCTGGCAGCCGTCGAGGTACTAGAGTTTTTGTTTGGAGATTCGTATGTACACTTATTCCGAAGTTTTCCAATGAACCCTTTTGAAGAGCGAATGAGCCTCCACATTACATTTCTTTTTAGATTGTGTCTCCTTCAATAAACAAAAAATGGACAATTAATTTTTCTTTCGTGTAAGAATTATTTTATTGTGATTATAAAGCTAAATTCAAGACAGTGAATGCTTCATGTACAAGAAAAATGGTTGTTAGATCTTCTTCCAATGAGAGGTAGACCTTAATTAAGGGTATTGTTTTCTACACAAATGGGGTATGAAAATCAATTTTGGACATTCAGTACAATATTTTCCTTTGAATTATTGTCGAACTCTTTGTGAAATGAGATAAACTGAATGTTCTGTATCTTTGGTGTGAATTGTAGGTGTGGTATCTCATTTCCAGATTTATTAAAATCCTGACAAATGGGCCTTTATTAAATATTTGACTGATGCAGCAAGAGAACTACAATGAAAGTGATAAAAGCATTTGTCTCTAGTGTTAATAAATCATTAAGGATTGTTAAAATTCTTTGTGACATTTTAAGGGAAATAGTTTAGCATACATTTTTGTTTAAGATAAATTATACTACATGCATATGTAGTATGTCAAAATACACTCTACCATCATGTATATCTAAAAAGAACAAATAAAAAAAAGATGTTAAAAAGGATGGGTGTATTAATTACATTTTAACTCTGTGTATTTCTACTAGTTGAAATCATTGTAAGGTTAAGAGTTGAAATGAGGTTGAGTCCTTTAATGTTGGACATCATTAAAATTGCAGAGATGCTGACTATAGATTCATAACATTTAAAATTCAGGTTACATGAGAAAACACATAGGCCAAGGAAGGGAAAGCAATATGAAGTAATTCAACTTTTTAGTTATAAGAATCTAAAATGTTTCTCATTTAAAATAAAGAAAGGAGGCTGATTCATAGTGAAATAGGCAGCGGGAGCATGGGAGGAATAGACGAACTTTAGAGGGCAGAGGTTGGAGGGGAAGGGAGGGGGCATGGGATAATTAATGATGGTGGAATGTGATGATCATAACTATCCAAAGTACATGTATGAACACACGAATTGGTATGAATATACTATGTATACAACCAGAGATATGAAAAAATGTGCTGTATATATAATAAGAATTGTAATGCATTCTACTGTCATATATAAATAAAAAAATTTACAAAAAGAAATAATGAAAGTCTATAGTATTGAAATACTTTTAATGGTGCCTTTTAATCCTCTACATCCTTTTAGTATTCATTAAGTGCTTTTATGGTAACGGCTTTGATATATAGCATGAAAGCATTAAGCATTTTAACTGCATTACAGCATATTAAAAATGGTGAAAAAATTGCTGATAATTCCACTTGTAAATAGATTTCAACTAGGATTCTGTGAACATATAGGCTAGCCTAGTTTTTATCAGCTTTTGTTATTTGCCACTCTCAAAACAATGTACCAAGTAAGAATACAATCTGTTCTTAGTGTTATATTTAAACTCCTTTTTTTTTTTTAAAGGAGAGAGAGAGAGAGAGAATCTTTTTTGTAGATGGACACAACACAATGCCTTTATTTTTATGTGGTGCTGAGAATCGAACCCAGGTCCCGCCTGTGCTAATCGAGCGCTCTACCACTGAGCCACAATCCCAGCCCATATTTAAACTTCTTTATTGAAGTAATTTTTTTAGAATATTACCGAGTTCCTAAATCATTGAGTTATTCATGATGATTTGAATGACTTTTTATTTTTTGATAGACTATTATGGTCTCCTGATATTTTATGCCAACTTCTTTTATACTTATATTTCTTTTTGTCTCGTGTCTGATCAGTTTTGCTTTTTCCAGTACTGGGGATTAAGCTTAGGCTGTGGCATGTGTTAGGCAAGTGCTCTACTGTGAGCTACATACCTTGGCCTTTTTATATTTTTATTTTGAAACAGGGTCTTACTACATTTCCCAGGCCAGACTTGAACTTGAACTTCTCCTGCCTCAGCCTCCTTAGTAGGTGGGATTACAGGTGCCTGCCCCCCTTGATTCTGATTTTTGAGCTATGGATATTGGAGGACAGTTGATGGCATAAAATTGGGTAGTCTGAGGGAGCTTCAGATTTTTAAAAATCTCTTAACTTTTTAAAGCATATGCTTTTCTACAAGAGCTATAAGCATAATAAAATACTGCCTTCTGTGAGCTTTTGACTCTTGATTTTGTTTTATTTTAAGGTGTCTATTAAGAATATCGAAAGAGAGCTCATTTGCCCAGCATGCAAGGAGTTGTTTACCCACCCACTGATTCTCCCTTGTCAACATAGTATCTGTCATAAATGTGTAAAAGAACTCTTATTGACTCTTGATGATTCATTCAATGAAGTGGGATCAGACAACTCCAATCAGAGCAGTCCTCGACTTCGGCTTTCCTCCCCTAGCATGGATAAAATTGACAGAATTAGCAGACCAGGTATGTGGCAGAACCTTGGTTGGGGTTGGGGTGGGGTACTTTCATGTTTAGGAATAACTGTGGAAAGAAAATTGTTTTTATCATTTTAAATGTTAAATTTTTCCAGGTGGATAAACTAAAACTATAATTATAAGAGATTACTCCCAGTTAAAATATGAAAATGAATTCTTGTTTTTTGATATGCCCTTAAAGCATATATTGGATATTGAACCCTATCTTTGTGATAAACCTCTTATTAACTGTGTCTATATTTAGGGGATATTCTGACCCTATGGTGTCTTTGATATGATAAAACATTGGATTAGTGATATACTTACCAGAGAAATATCCATATATGTAATACCCAAATAAATACTGCAGAATTAGAAATGGAACTACATAAAGGCAAGTCCTAGAAAACTTTATTTATAGACAAATTATTGGATATCATTTGAGAATTTTCTTTAACCATTCTTAATCCATTTTAAAAATAAGAATTTTGAACATCGCAAACAGCAGAATTCTGTAATAATATATAAAGTAGATCTGATTTAATATAGAGCACATATACTATTACTTTTATCATATTACCAACATGTAAATTGTTTCCTGTTGATGTAGTGTTACTTTTTCTTAGGTAGCTATTACAGGATTAACTTATTACAAAGTAACTTAAAAATCACTGGAGTTGCTGAAATTCTTTTTTGTGGGGGGCGGGTACTGGGGGTTGAACTCAGGGGTATTCTACCACTGAGCCACATCCCCAGCTTTATTTTGTATTTTATTTAGAGACAGGGTCTCACTGAGTTCCTTAGTGCCTTGCTTTTGCTGAGACTGGCTTTAAACTCATATTCCTTCTGTCTCAGCCCCCCAAGCTAGGATTTTGACTGGGATTACAGGCATGTGCCATTGTACCCGGCTAATGCTGAAATTCTTAGTACACAAAATTCTTGGTACTGAGGTCTGAGGTGGGTAAAAAATATGTTCTTGGTAGTATTTAAATGGCCATAAATTTCAGATCTCAGAGCTTCAGCTCTGTCCAGTTTGAGCTTTGAGATTTTAAATTTAATCCTTCTGTCAGTTTCTTTCTCTTATAGTATTAGGAGTAACTTTTTAATGATGTAAACTTTTTTCTTTTCCCCAGAGAAGGATGTCTTTCTCTAAGTCGCATATGTTAAAATTTTAGGTCACAAGCATAATAAACACAGAACAATTTTTCACTTTACCTTTTTGGTATAGAAATATTGTATAAATAGAAATATCATATATATATATATATATATATATATATATATATATATATATATATATTGTAAAATATTGTATTGTACAATACAATATAGATGCATTTTCATATTAGCTTAACCATTATAGGAAAACCAGCAGCCAGTTGATTCTAGACCTTCCTGTTGGAGACAGTGGGCCTTGGCTAGGATTAGAATGCTTGCCTTGTCAAAGAGGGCAGAAGCTGCTTGGCACCAAATGAATTTGTGGAATTGAGGGCACCAATCATCAGATTTACTATTTTGTCACAAACCTGGTAATGGTTTTTAAGTGAAAACATTGGCAGTTAATTCAAATTATTTAAGAATATTGTGCCAGCTCAACATAGTGCAGGACTGCTAAAACATGTCTTTGGCTCTGACTCCTCCAGCTTTTGTAGGTCATCAATGTATGCAGTCTTTATTTTAAATAATGTATGGGTGACCAATATCTGCTAGTATTGTAGAGGGGGATTCTGCTTCGAGCAGTGTGCTGAGCAAGTTCTGTCAACTGCCCGATTTCTCTAGCACTGAAGTTCTTTGCCTTATTGAATACCAGCTATATTCATTCAGTCAACAAATACTTTGAGTGCTCACTGGTTACCAGGTAAGACTAATTGCTGAAGAGGTAAATAAAATAGACCTATATTATGAAAAAGTGTACAATAACTAGCCTAGCATTGTACAATGGTTCATAAAGGATACCAGATTTAGAGTATAATTCTTTGTCAAGCACTCATACTGAGTAATTGAATAGATAAACTAGAGGACCCAAAGGGCGAGAATGCCTCAAATATGATAATCATTCCTGAAAGTTTGTATCGATGAATATAAATTTTAGGATTGTCCTCCACATGATCACATGATCATTAGGTTTAAACTAATAGAACTCATTCTATTACAGATGTAATGTTACTTATCTTCTGTTTGGACATTTGCCTGTAGTATTTTTTTGGACAGATTTATGGATTCATGGTTCAGTAATATCACTGCCCATCTTTTTTTCTGACAGGGTTTTTCTTTGTTTTTATCAGTTATACATACTTGAGAAGGAAAACAGAAACATTATTCACAGGTATCAGAAGGGGAAGAATAGAATTCTAAAAGTTACTTTTGCCGTTGGTTTAATAAAGAATTAGATTTGTGCTGTCCCATGTAGTAGCCATTAGCAACATGCAACT